TGTCGCTCCCCTCTTTTATTTCCTCTGGGAGGGGCCATTCATCGTCCACCTGTGGCCTTAGTCCCAAGTCAACCCTTGTTCCTTAGCTGTTCCCTTCATCTGGCAACTTTGCGCACACTGGGAACAGGCTCCAGCTGTTCTTCTGCCCCACTGACGTCTGACTCTGAAGGCAGCTGATAACTGGCATACGGCTCTGGCCCCCTCTCTGCCTCCGAAACAGAGCCCTCCTCAGAGCCTTCCCCAGACTCCAGTACTGGCCCAGGTTCCTCCCCAACCTCCTCACTGTCCGAGTCTGCCACCTGCTCCACTGGCAGGCCACAACAAATTTTACGGATGCCAAACATGTTAGGGGTACTCCAACTAAGGACGTCATCTTTGCCTGCTGTGCGGCTACTGCTACTGCTATCTACATTCTAATAGAAGCTCCAGGATCTCCTTCGTTGTAGAGTTTCCTGCTAGGATATTAAAGAAGCAGCATTTCTACATTCAACTCCTATTATGCTTCAAATTTGGCCCAGATCTTGTGATATTCTCTTATTATGTTTATGTTATGTTCCGGAAACGCTCACTTCCGGCTTCCTGCCGCTGTTAAGGTGCACTTCCCTCGCCGAAACCTAGGGTCCTTGATCTGCGCATGCGCTTTTCTGCGTAGATGGAGGGAAAGCGAAGCCGCGGCGATCACGTGCGTTTCCAGAAGGCGGCCGCGGTGGCAACGGAGCCCGGATGTCGCTGACTGCAAAACACGCCTCCGTCCGGATTTGATAACGTTCAAGAGGCGCTGCCGGAACTCCTTGGCTTCATTCTGGCTCAGCGCAAAGCTTCTTACACCAGGGTTAAGGCTGGAACTACAGCGCCATTATCCCCAGCCAACACGATGGCTTGATGGGATTTGAAGTCCCAGCCCCCGGAGACCCCGCCCGGTCTTAGCAGGACTGCCACACCCAGCTTTCCACGGCCCTGCTTGCATGAGCGGTGGGGGGTGGGAGCCCTGACTCCCTCCCCAACACTGGTTGGCCATGTGTCCAGATGGCACCCCAAACGCGCGTCACTGCAGATAGAGGTAGTTCTCTGCTTACACGTGTTTATTTAGTGACCACTCAAAGTTATAACAGCACTGAAAAAGGGGGACGTATGACCATTTTTCATACTTGCGTCATTGGCAGCATTCATTCCTGAAGCCACTTGATCAAAATTCAGGTGGCTTGGCAACTGGTTGATTCTTTATGGGGGTTGCAGTGTCCCAGGGTCATGGGATCACCTTTTGCGACCTTCTGACAAAGTCAACAGGGAAACCAGCTTCACTTAACAACCGTTTGACCAACTTAGCACCTGCCATGGTTCACTTAACAACTGTGACAAGGAAAGCAGTTAATGGGGCAGAAGACTAATTGGCAGCTCCAATTTCAGCCAGGGGTTGCAGAAGAATAAATAAAAACGAGATCCAGAGAAGCTGTGAGGAAAGAAGAAATATTTATTCCCCAAATCCAAAGAAGGTGCATTTAGGAGCAGGCTGCAGAGAAATGGGTACTCCAGCAGATTTCTCTAGGGGGTGGCACTTGGTTAGTTATCTGCTAATTTGATTAAAAGAAAACAAGCTTAGTACACATTTAGCAACACCTAGTCTTCACTTTGTAGTTCCAAAGGCTTTATTATGGGTATATCCAGATTAAAATGCCAAAATCACTTAAATTTTGCTACACACCATATGCTGGCTTCAGATCTTCTGAATCACATTTCTTAAAACTATCTTCTTTCTGTTCACATGCAGTATAAGCTTTCCCTTCCTTTTTCATCTCAGCTGTTTCTTAAACTCCCCTTTCCACGAAAGAGCTATAAATCATTCACTTTCTTACAACCATATACATTTATGAAAATCACAGCTGTAAAGGTGGTAGCTATGTTTATCCATACATTTCCCTCATCTCATATAATGCAGTTTACAAACACAAAGACAAACACAAAAACTCCATCAATATGATGGAGTTGGGAAACGGGCTTTTCCTGGATTGTGGGTTTGCAATTTCTTCCCCTTAATTAGCATCTGTGATTAGAAAAACAGTAAGTTTTCATAAAGAGGTTTAGAGGGAAGAAATGTTTAGTAGTTGCAAAAGTGTCAGAAGGGCAGCAGAAAGGAGAGGGATTAAAGAGTCTCCCTCTCAGCCTCTGGCTGGTAAACATAGGTAAATGATTCTTATAGCTCATCAAAACAGCATCATTAAATCACCTTTTTAACTTTTCTTCCTTTAAACATAACATTACAATACCCAAACATATATAATGATGGTAAAATAATCTCAATTTAAACGAGAAACATTCATAGCCCCAATAACAACTTTTTAAGAAAAGCGTTTTTTTCCCCCAAAAGAACTTTTCAAGCTCTTTTAAGGCTTCTTTATTTTATCTTTCATTACAGTTGAAAGTGCCTTTGTTTTCTCAAATTGAATTAAATTACTATAGCATCCTCCCATATTTTAGTCCATTTTCTTTTACATAAATCCTGTGCATTTTGCTTTTTCATTCCCGGCTAAAGCAGGTGTTCACATGCCTAAATCCAGGCTTCCAGCAACCTTCCCGATGGGAGACACGTGTTCCTGTCAGTTTTGGGTGTACACATAAACCTAAGGACACCCCTCTAGGCGAGGTAGGCACCTCCTCTATCTTTACCTTGCGGTCAGTATTCAAGCCTTACGCTTGGGAGGAGTGCTCGATTTGAATCATTTCAGGCACCTCCCTCCAACCTATCACTTTGCAAGTGTAACTCCCCACTCAGGAGGACTTTTTATTAAAAAGTATGGGTGTCCCAAGAGAAGGGAAGTGGGGCCATTCCAGCTGCCATCTTCCATGCAAAGGAGAAGAGCACATGCTGCAACAGAGAGGGTCCAATGAAACCGTTAATACAACCAGAAAGGGCGAATGCTAACCCCCCCTCCTCCCCAGGAGACCAAGCCAGCCTGTGTTTACCTTTGCAGGTCAATCTGCCTCTGTGCTGGTGCTGTTTTCTTTGTGGCCTCTTGCTGCTTTGGTGCCTTGGCATTGCTTGCCTCCAGTCCGCCCGGACCTTCTTGTGCGGGGGCCGCCCTTTTCCGTCCTCGTCCGGAGGATTTACTCATTTCGGCACTTTTCGTGGTGGCGCCCTGAGATTCGGACTTGGGGGGACGTCCTCGACGGGGTTTGGGAGGAGCTGGCTGACCCGTTTCGTCCGTTTTCTTCTCTTCTGCTTTTTGATGGAAATTCTCCGTTCCGGCTGCTGTCGTGATTCTTTTTTTGCCCCGATCGGCACTGACATTTTCTTGGGGCGCCTGGTCAGAATTAATCTCCTGGAAAAGAAAACAACTTGGTTTTTTTTTTGTCAAGCGAGTAGCAGGTGGAGACTGCATCTGTTTGAATCAGCTTGTCTTGCTTGCTGAAATACATTTCCAGGACTATCGGCAACACCAGCAGCCACCTTGAAAGTGTAATTAATCCACGGGGATTTACTGCTGCCAAAGGGATTTCTCGTCTCTACACCAGGCCATTCTCACACTCTATTCACAGGATGCGCGTCATCACTTGGCCATATCACAATGAAAAGGCAGTAGTTTTATCATGACTGAGGCAAACTCCTGGCCCAGTTTGATTGGAAAATGGGAGAGCCACTTTGCTCCAGTGATTAAGGCACCAGGCAAAAACTGGGAGACAGAGAGTTCTAGTTGCGGGAGTGAGGCAAGATAGCCAGCTGGGTGACTATGGGCCAATCATTAGGAGACTATTAGTTCTAATTCCGCTTTAGTCATAACAACTAGCTGGACGACTTTGTGCCAATCACCATAAGATAGCAAATTTTAGTCCCACTTTCCCACTGAAAGCCAGCTAGGGGATTTACGATGCATCATGATCTCTCAGTCCAATCCACCTCAAAAGGTGGTCATTGTATGAAAAACAGGAGGGGAAATCTGCCTTGTCTCCAAACATGGAATAAGTATGTCCTTGACTTGTAAAAGCACAAGAAATATTATAAATGCCAAATTGATTACAAAAACAAAAATCTGAATCAGCCTTAAAATGATTAGTTTATCAAGATATTTGTTCTTTTAATCCAAAAGTTTGGAATGGCTTTCAAAAGAATTAACTAGTTAAATTTACACAAAGGATTCAATTATAATTAAAATAATAGAAAATTGAGCATAAAGTATGTGCCCATTTATCAATAGTTCTTGATGTGAACATAAAATTAAAAGAAAACAAAACAATAATATATTCTGATATCAAACCCCATACCTTAAAATTACCAACTTCCAAATTCAAAATTAACATTTGCATTTAGATAAATTATTTAAAAATGCAGATATGGCCCTTGCCTAAAATTAATTGTTTTTCTAAGAAGGAAGAAGTGAAATAAGATGGAGGAAACAATAATAATCCATGGAGACAACTTTAGAGAAATTATCCATAAACCATTAAGAAAACAAAAGGAGCCGTTTTGTTTTGAGACCAGAGTGAAGGGAAAGTATTTTAAAAACAGACTGAACTACAACTCCTTGCTTTACAAGAGGAAGTCTAGGCAGGTAGACTTGCATGAATATTGCTGAATTATGGTTATTTGCAGGAGAAATTCTTTTGAAACACTTCTTCATTAGCAACATGGACAAAACAGCAAATCTTTAGGATTCAATGAAGGCATCTTTGTTGGATGCTTTATAATTTCTCATGCAAATTACATAACATAGTGACACACAGAAGATGTGTAATCTACTCCATATGGAGAATAGTCAAATTCCCAAGATGGCAGTGAGATTGACACACACACCAAATGAGAGGCCACCCTTGAAATACATGGCATTACATTACATTAATTTGATAAATAAATTACCTCATGCTAGTATCCATCAAACTGGTTTTGTTTGTATTGGCATCCCACAGATAAACAGCACTGGATTTATCAACCATAATTGCTAGAGTATCTCCATCTTGATTCCAATTCATAATGATGCAGTTCCTATTGAAAGACAAAAAAAATAATTAAATGCTCTTTAATAAACGTCAGTTTTATTGTCTGTCCTACTCATATTTTAAAACTGCACATGAAGATACTGGCATACTAGATGGAGAAAATCTATTTGGGTTTCTTTTCAAAACCTCCAGTGTCTGTTTTAAGTCATCCACAAGCGAGGTTTTAAATTTAGACATTTAAGGCCATAACCTGAGATTTAAAACTTACCCTGGTAAAATAATTTCATTTTTCACTTGACCATGGCGATCAAAGACTTTGACAGTATGACTGTACCTTTAAACAAATGAAGAAAAGTTTATAAGAATTACAATGTTTTTTACACACATCTAAAATCAATAACAATTTTTTTGCATATCTTTGGAAGAAGGTGGCACAGTGGTTAGAGTGCAAAACTGCAGGCTACTTCAGCTGACTACTAGCTGCAGTTTGGCAGTTCAAATCTCACAGGCTCAAGGTTGTCTCAGCCTTCCATCCTTCCAAGGTGGGTAAAATGAGGACCCAGGGAACCCTCACATCCCCCTCTATAAAATGCCTCTCCCGACAAGTTTCAGATTGAGTTGAAAGGCTCCTGGGAGCGCTGGTGGAAAAACGGGATATAAATGAAACCGAAAAGGAATTGTACATTTGATAATGGCAGCTAGACTAGTGATGGCTAAATATTGGGGACAAAATTGGGATATTCAAAGAAATGAGTGGCATAATGAAATTTGGAGCATGGCAACAAATGATAAATTAACAACGGAAATTAAATTTTAAAAAGGGGGTGATCAAAAAGCAAATGACTATAATGAAATATGGGGGGATTTTATAACATCTGTGTTGGTGGAAGGCCAAGAGGATAAACCTCCTCAAGAATGTATGTTGTTTTGGAGGGGATAAGGGCACAATTGGAATATATTGTACATATTTTAGTTGTTACCTTCTTCTTGTGCCATATCCGTCATTGCAGTGTTTTTCAACCTTGGCAACTTGAAGATGTCCGGACTTCAACTCCCAGAATTCCCCAGCCAGCATTCGCTGGCTGGGGAATTCTGGGA